AGAACTTAGAGAATTCGACCCATCAGTCTTCAAATTTTATAGCCTCTTCCTCAGGTCTTTGTCACATATATACTTTCCAAAGTCATTTGAAGTAAACAGCGCGATAATACAAAGAACAGTTCAAGACAAATTTGGTGGAAGATTACTTTATGAAACAATGGAATGGACACTGATAAAGATCAATGCACACACAATAACAAAAGTATTTTAATGTATGATCTTTTCAAATCCTTTTCGGTTCATAATGAACATTCACTGAAAGTGGAGCATTCCGTTTGTTGGACTTGCGTGAGTAAACTGCTTCTTCCTAATGTATAATTTTCTCCAAAACTACTAGTAAAAAAGATTTTCTTGGAAAAGATACAACTTATTTGGAAGATAAATTCATAAATCAATATTTAAGCAAGAAAATCTACAATTTTTTATGCCAACACATTTTTTTCTATTTCTAGAAAAAGTGAATTTCCAGAAAAAAATCCTTTACATATTGAATTCTGACCAGAAAACTAACAAAAAGGATTTATAATAAGAAAGTTACATTTTGTAATACTTCAACTTCCATAGCCATTTTCCTCCTTACTTTCCGTACCTCGAAGTGACAACAACAACAACCGGCCACACCACCTCACAACCGGCCGATCGACACTTTTCTATCCCGGATATCTTGAATTACAGGTCCTGTCTGAAAGTGAAAGAATTCATGAGATGAATTGAAACTTTTTCTCGAAATCTTTAATTTCCAAAATGTAAAATATTTTAAGAAAATATTTGCTGAAACTAGTAAAATTCCAAATAAAACAGCTGGGACTCTGATTCAAAATTCATTTCATATTACTTTTCAACTTGTCGTGTGATAGCCATTCCCATCGAAATGATTTATTTTAAGTTCATAATCTGCTTTTTAAATTGCTATTTTGTTTTAAGAAAATATGTGAAAAAGAACCACAAAAAAATTATGGCAATAAAACATATTAATAATATTAGTTTAAAATTATCTAATAAAAATAATCAAAAAATAATATCTCAAACTTCCTTTTTTTGCACAGAAAATTCCCAGAATTTTACATCTTGGCTTTATTAATTATACCAAATTATAAATCTAATGGATTATATAAGGAGTAATAATGTATATTAAATATTAATTATACAATTAAACAACTTTTTTTTTCTTTTGATTTGCACATAATTTTTTCTTCATTTTCATTCTTATAAAATTTAAATACTTTTTTAAAAATGCAATGAATTTAATTTTTTTTTTTTTAAAAAGAATATTTGATTAAGAAATTTTAAATTTTATAAAAATTTCGCAATATATACAATATAATTAATTAGAATTTTTTAATAAAAAAAAGGAAATATCGAATTATTTGTTTAGTAGTAAAAAATACAAAACCAAAAAGACAAAAAAAAAAAAAAAAGAAATATCACAAAATGATAATTTGCATGGTAATATTAGACTTGCCAACATTTATTGATCACCGAACTAAAATATTTTGCTTTGTGGCAAAGCAGCTGATTTGACTAATACCGTATGAAAGTAAGCGTGTTAAGATCCAAATATAATGATTGAGATTGTATGATAAAGTGAACAAGGAAAGATGATAAGTGATAAAGTTCATTGATAATTTCATCATTTATGATTAATTACCGATATAGTTAATTAACAATGATATAGTAATTAATTAGCATATTATACTAATAATTTGATCAGCAATTTGATTGGTTAATTAATTATAATAATAATTTGAGAATTGTCAGCAATTATGTTAGTCAATTAGTTGTATCAATAATTTGAGAATTATTAGCAATTTGATTTGTTTATCATTTTTTTTTATTAAGCATTGTATTTTAATGTAATTTATTGTAAATGATTAGAAACTGATTACCAAGTAAAAGGTAGGAGTTACTTATTAATTTTATCATATATGGTTAATTAGTGATATAATTAATTAATAGTAATATGATAAAAAATTAATTAATTATATCAATTGCCTGAGAATTATCAACAACTTTATCACTTTCTCTTAAATCTTTTTTATTGCTTCTTGCATTTTAAGGTAATTTGTTGCATTAAGGTAAAAAATAAAAGATAAAAGTTATTTATCAATTTTATCATATCTGATTAATTACTGATATATTGATGGATAGCAATTATAATAAAAAATTAACTGATTATAGCAATCATTTGAGTATTGTAAATAATTACGTCGGTGTTTTTTATTGTTTTTTGCATTTTGAAGTAATTTATTGCGATGATAAGGTGAGTGATAGCAAGCAAGAAACAGTGTTGTATATGATTGATTAGTGCTATAACTAAGTGATAATAATATGATAAAAAATTAATTATTTCAAAAAAATGTTTTTAAAAATTAATTATGTTAATTATTTCAGAATTATTACTAATTACATCATTTTTTCTCACTGTTTTCTACATATCGAAATCATTTATTGCAAATGATAAGAACTGATATCAAGGAAAGATAATGTTGTTTGTCAACTTCATGACATATCATTGATGAATTAAATAATTAGTTGACAGTAATATAATAATGAATTAATTAATTATCATATTCATTCAAGAATTATTATTAATTGCATCGTTTTTTCTCATTGTTTCTCGCGTTGTGATATATTTCATTACTAATGATAAAATTTGATAAAAAATTAAACCATTTATCACTACTACATGGTTCATCATATTTCACAAGTGATAATAATGATAACATACATTTAATAATACATAAAGATTATATCAGGTTAGCACTAATTAATAAGTGATAATTTTTGTTCTAGTTTGAATTAAAATTATTATATATTCTATGTAATTTTACATGCATTATTTATTGTACTGAAATAATTGATATGAATTTAATTAATTACTTGAACTATTGTACTATTATTATTAAAAATTTTTGTCAGGTTTTTTTGTCTTTGTTTTTGTCTAATATTCCAAAATTTTACAATATTAAAATATTCGATCACTTCAATAATTTTGGAAAGAATTAAAGTTAATATTATAAAACTAGTCATAATTCTTTCTCTTACTCCTCTCTCTCTCTCTCTCTTTCTCTCCCTCTCTCTCTTCTCCTTAACTCTTATCCATGATATTTCACAAAATTTAGTAATTGAATCATCTCTTATTATCAACTCTTCTTTCTCCTTTCCTTCCTTCCTTCCTATTTTTTACCTTCTTTCCTTCTTCTATTTATTCTATTTTTGAAAACCTGAAATGTTTCATTTTATAACAATGGCAAAATTTGATAATATCTATTAGTTTTAATTTCTTTTCAGTATGAAAGATGAAGTATTCGTAAATTTTCAAATAATCCATTCAATTCTTTTTCATTTTTATTTTTACTTCAGAATTCATTGCAAATATTAAGTGTATGTGTGTATTTATTGAAATTTAAGTTTACATTTCAAATTTATTTACTTATCATACATTTTCATACATTGCAAATATGCGAAAGTATACTGTTACTAACTTAATTCAACATTTTGAAGTATAGAATAGAAATCAAGAAGTGAAATAAGAATTGAAATAAATAAGCTAAAATTGTAACAAATAAGTTAGTTTCACTTTTTGTTCTGTTTTTCCTTCCAAATCTTTCATTCGCTTTTTTCCTCTTTTTTTTTTATATATTTTCATATTAAATTTTCATGTCCTTTTTTTCAAAATTACCGAATTTTTTCTTATTTTGGGGAAAAAAAATTTTTTTCAAATCATTCACTAAGCATTCATCCAAAATGTAATTTTAAAATAATTTCAATTATGAAACTTTATTATTAATCGAAAAAAAAAAATAATCTCAAAATGTTTCCATTTTGTTTTCCTTCCATATTATTTTATTGTATCATTTCAAGTGATATACTATTTGTAATTATTAAATTATCAACAACAAAAGAAAAAAACACAGAAAATCATTTTCGCTCAAATTTTAAAATTTAAAATTGAACTATAATATGATATAATAGCATTATTAATATTGCAAATTATCATAGTACTAAAAAGAAGAAAAAAAAAGAATGAATGTATGTTTAAAGCACCAAAAACAACATTTTAAATGTTATAACAAAAAAAAAAAGAAAAAGACAAAATTAATTTTCAAAATAAACAAACAATATATTTTAGCTAAAAGATTATTAATTATTAGTAAGAAAAAGTAATTGTTATTAAATATATAACAATTAATCTAATTATAACATTATAATATTTAAACCTCATATGTTAAGCTAATTATTAATTTTCCAATAATTAAGTAAGTCAATAATTTTCATTTATAAATTTTGAAATCATCGTTATGGTAAAAAAAATAATTTGCAAATTACCTATGTATAGCAGCAGCACTATGTTAAAATTATATAATTAACATTATTATTAATTTAATAAACTTTTACTTATTAATTAGTTTTAAGCAAAAGTTTATTTTAATTTTTGCAAAAAGAAAGCTTAGAAGAATTTCTATGGATTTTTTTTAACTCTTAAAAAACTTTATTAGCCATTTAAACAAGGAATAAATCATTAATTAACAATATTTTTATTTCACAGACTTTTATCTTTTATCTCAAAAAATTTTCTCTAATCTTTTACCATATTAAAATTACATATGGTTAAGTTGAAGAGAAAAAAAAATTAATACCATGAAAATTTATTAGAAAAAGCTCCAAAATTATGCTAATTTGTATTTTTTTTTTTCACTATCCTACATAAAAATTTAAGTATGCTAAATGAAAGTTATGCAAATAGAATATTCATTAAGTAAAATTGAGAAAGGTAATTTGAATATTGCAATGTTTCTTTTTTTTTTTTATCAAAATTCAATTTTATTGAAATAATCATTATTTAAAAATAATAATGCTACAATCTTATTTATGTGATATAAAATTTTTTATCATTTTAAAATTACAAATAATTCAATATCAAAGTGATTAATAACAATTTAATTGTCTCATTTTTTTTTTCATTTTATGAATTTATTATTAAACAATAATAATAATAATTATCCATAAAATGTATTACAATCATCATTTAATTTTAAGGAATGCCTAAGTGATGAATTATTCCTGCTCATTTCACCATTTGGTGATTTTTCATTTCGTTGTTCCATTGTTAATGAAATGATATCGGTGGTGACATTGTGATGTGTCAAACGTGATGCTGCAGGTGCTGGCAATAAACTAAATATAATTGTAATATTAATTAATTATAAAATAATTACAAAAGCAAAAAGAAAGAAAGACTAATTAGTCTAAATAAGCTAATTAATCTAAGAAAAAAAATTTTATTTTTTTAAAATTGTTCCAAAAAAAAAAAAAAAACAATAAAATATTAATAAAATTGATACTGTGGATCAGCTTTAGTGATTGGTCTTGGATTTCGGAAAGGTTTTCGTTGATGTTTCATTCCAAATTTTGCACGACGAAGACGTTTATTTCGTTTTTTTTCAAGCTTTTTTTTGAGCATATAACAGAAGAAACCGGAAATGAGCAAAAATATGCAACCGGAAAATATTGCCATAAAAAGCACCGTTCGCACATCAGCTGCATTCTCTAATTTATTACCTGATAAAATGAAAAATTAAAAATAAATTGAAATATTTCTATACTTTTATATGTTAAATAATAATAGCAATAATAAATAAATAATATTATGACAATAATTATTGATTCATCATTAATAATGATTTACTGCTACTACTAGTGATGATATTAATAATAATAATTCATCAATGCTATGTTAGCTAACACAATTTTATATTTATTCAATTTGACATTAACTTGTTTACTCTTTCCATTCTTAATTCCTTTCTTCCTTCCTTCCTTGCTTCCCTCACTTATTTATTTCCCTAAATTCTTCCCTCTTTCCCCTCTTCTTCTTCTCTCAAAATGAAGTAAACAACAACAACAAATATCATTTCGATACCATTTAAATAACTAACTAAACATACTGCTCAAAAATTTCATTTTTTTCAATGCATAAATTCTTGTTCATATATTCAACAAAATAATGAAAATTATTTCATTCATGCATGCAAAAATAATATTTATATAATATATGCATGAATAAATAAATTAACCAAATTTTGTAAATTTTTGAACAGAAAAAAAAAATAATAAAATATTTTCAAATTTTGAAAGTTGAATTTAAATATTAATAATTTTTGAAATGTAAATATTAAATAGATACAATTGTTTCACACTTCATAATTTATTACTCATTTATTATTCATATTTTACTTAATGTATTTCACGTTTAAAAATTAAATTTAGTATTTTAGCAACCTCAATTAATCTGATTAAAAGTTTATAAAATTTTCGGATGATATTCAAATCTCAATAGCCTAAATTGATCTGATGGATTTCACACAAATGATACTTATCAGTAAAATATACAAATCTAAATTAAACTGAATAAAATAATTTCTATTTAATATTTATGTAACTATCATGAATGATACTTATCACTCACTAAATATTCTATTAATTATGAATAAAATAAAAATTATGATAAATAATTAATTAACAAAATAATTGAATACAATATTGCAATAAAAATATTATAAACAAAAATTAATTTAATTAAAGATTTAATCAGATTAAAATAAATAAATAAATTGACATACAGTATGCTTCATCAGTATCATCATGTAAACCACAATTTTTATCACCGTTACATTTCAAACGAGCATCAATGCATAACTTTGTATACGTACAAAGATACATCGTTGGATGCAGACATTCATTATTATCTAAAAAAACAAAAGAAGAAAATAAGTAAGAGTATAGGTTATTAAGTAATATTTCTGTAGTAAGTAAATATAATATAGTGAGTTAGTAAATAATATTTTAATGAATAAATTCGCAAATAAAGTAAAAAAATAAACAAAAAGTAATATTTTTTTTTTTAGAAAATAAAATTTTATAAATTCAACCTAATTTTATTTATTCTCAATGAAAAAAAACTATTTATATATTACATTAAAGCAATTAGAAAATATCTTTGTGCCGAAATAAACATAAATTAATGATTAATTTGTTGAATTTATTAAATTTTTTTGTTTTAATTGATTGTTTGTTTACGTTGAATATTTTGTGATTAAACCATAATTAAATTGTAGTTAAACTTCGATTAAATTATATTAACCAATATAAAATATACTATTTTCAAAAGTGGAAAAAAAATTTTTTTTAATTGCTATCAATAGAGAAAACTTAATCAAATAAAAACTCAAAAATTTTACAATTTTTAATTAATAAATAAATACCTGTTGTTTTTTTAACCTCCGTCCAGGTAAAATTAAAACCTTTCAAACCATTTACTTTATCTGGTGATGTGAAAAATCTGAAACAAAAATAAAAAATAAATAAATAAATAAAAGAATAAAACAAAGAAAAACAAAATTAATTTAATTATGATAATGTAGAATAATCGGAATCATTTTAAAACCGAAAAATATTTTTTAAATTTTCTAAAAATTTATTAAATTTTAGCTTTTTTTCTAAAAAAATTATTTGCTTATGTTTTTTGTTTTTTTTTTTAAAAATAAAATTTTACATGTAAAGAATAAATAATCTATCATTTAGTGAATGTATTTTGTTATTATTATTTTTTCTTTTAATGTAAAAAAATTTCACTGTAATTGAAAATATATTTCGTTTATTATATTAATGCACAAAAATTTGAATAATTTGTAATAATTAAATTAGATGAAGAGAATCATTCTATAATTAAATTTTTTATTTTGATTTAAAAAAAAAGAAACCTAATTCGAACTGTGTTATTTTTTGAAATAATAGGTTGAATGACAGTTTCATCAGTACCACAAATTTCCTGTATCGTAGGACTAGCATTAATGCCACGTTCAGCATCCACACGAATTACCGCATTTTGACAATTCACCGATTCAGCAGTCATTGAACCTTCGATTTCCATTTTTATAAGATGTAATAATACCTTTAATAATGAAATTAATTTTATTCGAATTTTGTTTTGAAAAAAAAAATATTAAAATCTGATCAAAAATAAAATTTTATTTATAAGTAAACTATCTTTTCTTATTTAATTTACATTTCTTCTGTAAAACTTCATTTTCTCATTTATTTTACATATTTTAGTTTTATAAATTAGCAGTCTAGAAAATTGATTTTTTTATTTAATTTAAACATATATACTTATTTGATTTTAATTAGTGATTATTAGCTTTTTTTTTTCTTAGATTTAATCTAAGTTTTAAAATTAAGCTTTGAATTTTTTATTGAATTGATTTTTAAATTTTAAATTTTATACTGCACATTTGTTTGATTTAAATGGTGATTATTCTTTCGTTTTTGAATTTAAATTATTAATCTAATTTAGGTATTGAATTTACTATTGAACTGATTTAGAAATTTAAAATTTTGAACTTGTATATTTGTTTGGTTTAATCAGTGATTATTATTTTTTTTAAATTAAATTATTAATCTATGTTTCAAAGTGAAACTTTAAATTTATTGTTAAATTGATTTATAAATTTTGAACTATTAAGCTAGAAATGGTGATGATATTATGATACCTGATGATTTGGTCGTACAGTAATTTCCCAATCACAAATTAAATCTTTATTATATTTTATTGGATATCCCGGTGATACTAACCAACCGCTAGTGAAATCATCAGTTCGAGTTATTCGTTGACCACAATGTCGAGCAACTGCTAAAAATTTACCCTAACTTATCATATCTAATAATTTTATCAACTATTCATAATTTGGAATAATATTCTTTTTTTAAAAAAAAAAAAAAAGTTTAAATCAACATAAATTACATCGAAACTATCACTTTTTAATTATATTATTTTTAATGAATTTAAAAAAAAAAAAAACTAAAATTTTTCTGTCTTATCATATTTTGATATTTTTACCATACACTAATTCATAATTTGGAATATTTATTTAAAAAAAAAAAGCTTTAAATTAACATAGATATATTCAAGCCGAAAATTCTATCACTTTTAATTGTTAAAAAAAAAAAAAAAAAAACAATTAAAGCAAATTTTACTTTAAATCTATCTGATCTATATTAGAAGAATATTTCATTATTATATTTTTTTTATCTTTGATAAATTTTTTGAAGTATAATAAGCAAATGTATTTATGAAAAAAAAAAAAAAATTTTAACGAACGTTTTGTTGGAATTTCTTCGGTAAATGCTTTACGAATTTGATAGATTGCTTTAAAGCCATTTCCAGTACCTTCATGATCAGATAAAAAAAAAACTCGAAGTTCATGTGAACCAAATGCTGTTACTGTTGGTCCCGGAAATGTATTTGCACAATAACGAGCTGTAAAATTTTTATTTTAATTAAAACATAGAAATTTTTTTTTAAAGAATGAAAAAAAAAATTTACAAAAATAAATTAATTTAAATTTAAATATTTCGCACCTTGAAGTTGTAATTTTTCCACACCATCTTTGACAAAAACATCTGATATTTCTAAATAATCAGTACAACTGAAATAAAAAACAATTAGCATTTTAATTTACTTTCATAAAATATTTATCTAAAAAATCACAAATACTTTTTTTTTTCTTCGAAAATAGAAAAATAAAAATGTTTTAATGTTAGCTAATTTTGTTTTTTGGAAATATAGATTAGCAAATTAAATTGATTGAAAGATTTGATAGCATAGCTCAATTTTGATCATAATGTATGGATGATTAATTTGCGGTGATATTTAATAATAAAATTAAAATTTTTAAAGCCATTTTTTAAGTTTTTTTTTTTTTAATTTAAAAGAAACGATTAATATTTTTTTTTTTTAAATCGCTATTAAAAATGAGGTGGTACAATAATTGTAACATATCATTATTTCACAAAAATAAAAAAATTTTTTTTAAACTTTTAAATATATCAATAAATTTGATTATTAATTTCTAGATGGTTTCTTAATAAAATCTAAATTTTTTTAAATTGTTTTTGTTTTTAAATGAAAATGGATAGAAAGTATTACCGTGTCTCAATTGTTGAATGTTCATCAACATAAAGAGCAAATTGCTCGAAGTAAACTTGAATCTGTTCATCTGGTCTTGCCTTGATAATGTAAGTGCAATTGGTATCTAATGGATACTGTAAATAAGTTTCTGTGGTGTAGATAGTACTGTAAATGAGTTTCTATACTATAAATGGTACTGTAAATGAGCCTCTACACTGTAAATGGTGCTGTAAATATCTAACAGATACTGTAGACTATATGCAAATGAGATTCACAATTAATATGCACAATTTTAAAATTTATTGCAATTATTTAAAAAAAAAAATTAGAATTAATAGTAAATAATAAAAATACATTTGCCGGATATCTTGGACTATTGAACCAACCACGTGTTTTTGTAAATTGAAACATACATTGGTTTGAACCACCAATTGGTTTACCCGGTATACCAAAATCTATAACATTTTTTTTTTTTGATGAAATACCAAAAAAAAAAAATAAATAAATAAAACTAATCACCAATCAGTTAATTATTTTATATGAGTGCAAAAAGGAAAGAAAATCTCTTTTTTTTAAGTTATAAATTAAAAAAAATTTCATATAGTATCATTTTTTTCTATGAAAAATATTTAGAAGTATTGCGGGTTAAAAAAATTTTAACAACAAATATCACTTGAATTGAATTGAATACTTGTTTTAAACTGTATTTTAGCTTTAAATCCTAATGGTTTCTTTCCATCACCATTAGAAGAAATCTTTTCATTAGAACTAAATACTAAAACCATTCTTGGTCCATCACTAATATATGGGCCCAAAATATGTGAACCTATAAAATAATTATCAAAATTAATGTTTAATTAATTATTTTATAGTATTTCAGATGATTGTATGAATAAAACATCTTTTTTTTAAAGTTGTAAATTTAAAATAATTTATGCTGTGAAAAATTTGAAAAATTCATTAATATTGCATAAATTAAAAATTTTTTACTACAAATAATTTGAATAAAATTTTAAATTTTACAAGTACTTACTTAATCTCAAGCTTACACTTTAATTTTTATTGATTTTTGAAAATCTTTTTAATTAATTAAAATATTACTAACCATTTTCTAGACGATCACAAAGTGTAGCATCGTAATTACTTTCTTCACCAGATGATAAAACACTATTAATGGTTGCTGGAACGAATGCAATACCAACATATGATGTGGCACATGGTTCGTCATCATCATCATAATTAATTGAGGAATGTTTTGAGTGAAATGAATTAGAACTAAAAGAATAAAAATAAAGAATAAATCATGAAATGAATTGAAATCTAAAAAAGAAAAACACATTTAATTTATTTTAGTTGAAATAATTAAAATGCTTAAAATAAGTCATAGATAATCTTAAAACATATTCAACAATCAAAAAAAAAAATTAAACTTAATTTTGAAAAAACAAATTTTTATTTATGCTTATGCTCGATATTAATGATTTCTAAAAAAATAAATTAAAATTTTAAAAATAATCATTCTTTTAATTTATAAAGCAAAAATTAAAAAATTATGAAAGGAAAAAAAAACAAAGAGAAATATTTAATTCATGTTAAATGAGAAAATTAAAATGTTTAAATTAAATGAATAGATAATTTAGATAATTTTAAAACGTATTCAAAGATAAAAAGAAAAAGGAAACGAAAGAAATTAAACTTTACTTTCAACGAAAAAAAAAAGCAATTGTTAATTTATAATTAATGCTTTTTACTAATATTTGTTACAATTTAAAGTATGCTTATTAAACTTAACTAACTTGTCAATTGTTTCAGTGAGGACAGCAAAATTTTCGAACGTAAGTATTACTTCCTCCAAATTTTGTTCACCTTGTAAACCATCAATAATAAATGTACAGGTGGTATTAGCTGGATACATCAATGGATACTAAAAAAAACTTTTTTTTTTTGATCAAATCAAAGTATAATTTTAACAAGTAATGGACGTATTACATAAAATATTCGGCAATATCTGAAATTATTTTATCAATCCTTTACTCTTAATTATACGTAAATTTTATTAAACTCTTTAGAAAAAAAAATTAGAAACTGATTACCAAGTAAAAGGTAGGAGTTACTTATTAATTTTGTCATTAATAATGGTCTTAATTCAATTTAAGAATTAAAATTAAATTTAATTTCAAATTTAAATTTTGAATTTTTTAAAAATTTTAAAATTTGTAATAGTTTTTTACATCTAACAAGAAAATTGGTTCTAAATTATCAATTTTAATTTTAATTAAGTGCCAAAACTGCTAAAAATAGCAATATTTTGAAGTTAATTCATTATGTTGTATGCATTGCAGCAGGGCGGGACAAATATGGTTGGTCATTTTATAGTTTAAATATTAAAATACGCTTTTATAATTAAGTTTTGCGCAAAAATTCATCAGCAAAATTAATAAAACTTTCAATTAATAATGGTCTTAATTCAATTTAAGGTTCAAAATTAAATTTAATTTCAAATTTAAATTTTGAATTTCATAAAAATTTTAAAATTTGTAATAGTTTTCTTACATTTAACAAGAAAATTGGTTCTAAATTATCATTTTTAAATTTAATTGAATGCCAAAACTACTAAAAATAGCAATATTTTGAAGTTAATTCATTATGTTGTATGCATTGCACCGGGGCGGGTCATATATGGTGTGGTCATTTTATAGTTTAAATATTAAATATGCTTTTATATTTAAGTTTTGCGCAAAAATTCATCAGCAAAATTAATAAAACTTTCAATTAATAATGGTCTTAATTCAATTTAAGGTTCAAAATTAAATTTAATTTCAAATTTAAATTTTGAATTTTTAAAAATTTTTAAAATTTGTAATAGTTTTCTTACATTTAACAAGAAAATTGGTTCTAAATTATCAATTTTAATTTTAATTAAGTGCCAAAACTACTAAAAATAGCAATATTTTGAAGTTAATTCATTATGTTGTATGCATTGCAGCAGGGCGGGACAAATATAGTGTGGTCATTTTATAGTTTAAATATTGAAATACGCTTTTGTAATTAAGTTTTGCGCAAAAATTCATCAGCAAAATTAATAAAACTTTCAATTAATAATGGTTTTGATTCAATTTAAGGTTCAAAATTAAATTTAATTTCAAATTTAAATTTTGAATTTTAAAAATTTTAAAATTTGTAATAGTTTTCTTACATTTAACAAGAAAATTGGTTCTAAATTATCAATTTTAATTTTAATTAAATGCCAAAACTACTAAAAATAGCAATATTTTGAAGTTAATTCATTATGTTGTATGCATTGCACCGGGGCGGGTCATATATAGTGTGGTCATTTTATAGTTTAAACATTGAAATATGCTTTTGTAATTAAGTTTTGCCCAAAAATTCATCAGCAAAATTAATAAAACTTTCAACTATCAATGGTCTTAATTCAATTTAAGGTTCAAAATTAAATTTAATTTCAAATTAAAATTTTGAATTATTTAAAAATTTTAAAATTTGTAATAGTTTTCTTACATTTAACAAGAAAATTGGTTCTAAATTATCATTTTTAATTTTAATTAAGTGCCAAAACTGCTAAAAATAGCAATATTTTGAAGTTAATTCATTATGAAGTATGCATTGCACCGGGGCGGGTCATATATGGTTGGTCATTTTATAGTTTAAATATTGAAATATGCTTTTATAATTAAGTTTTGCGCAAAAATTCATCAGCAAAATTAATAAAACTTTCAATTAATAATGGTTTTAATTCAATTTAAGGTTCAAAATTAAATTTAATTTCAAATTAAAATTTTGAATTTTTCAAAAATTTTAAAATTTGTAACAGTTTTCTTACATTTAACAAGAAAATTGGTTCTAAATTATCATTTTTAATTTTAATTAAGTGCCAAAACTACTAAAAATAGCAATATTTTGAAGTTAATTCATTATGTTGTATGCATTGCACCGGGGCGGGTCATATATGGTTGGTCATTTTATAGTTTAAATACTAAATATGCTTTTATATTTAAGTTTTGCGCAAAAATTCAGCCAAATTAATAAAACTTTCAATTAATAATGGTCTTAATTCAATTTAAGAATTAAAATTAAATTTAATTTCAAATTAAATTTTGAATTTTTAAAAATTTTAAATTTGTAATAGTTTTCTTACATTTAACAAGAAAATTGGTTCTAAATTATCATTTTTAATTAAGTGCCAAAACTACTAAAAATAGCAATATTTTGAAGTGAATTCATTATGTTATATGCATTGCAGCAGAGCGGGACAAATATGGTGTGGTCATTTTATAGTTTAAATATTAAAATATGCTTTTATAATTAAGTTTTGCGCAAAAATTCAGCAAAATTAATAAAACTTTCAATTAATAATGGTTTTAATTCAAATTTAAGGTTCAAAATTAAATTTAATTTCAAATTTAAATTTTGAATTTTATAAAAATTTTAAAATTTGTAATAGTTTTCTTACATTTAACAAGAAAATTGGTTCTAAATTATCATTTTTAATTTTAATTGAATGCCAAAACTACTAAAAATAGCAATATTTTGAAGTTAATTCATTATGTTGTATGCATTGCACCGGGGCGTATATAGTATGGTCATTTTATAGTTTAAACATTGAAATACGCTTTTGTAATTAGGTTTTGCCCAAAAATTCATCAGCAAAATTAATAAAACTTTCAACTGATCATGGTTTTGATTCAATTTAAGGTTCAAAATTAAATTTAATTTCAAATTTAAATTTTGAATTATTTAAAAATTTTAAAATTTGTAACAGTTTTCTTACATTTAACAAGAAAATTGGTTCTAAATTATCAATTTTAATTTTAATTAAGTGCCAAAACTGCTAAAAATAGCAATATTTTGAAGTTAATTCATTATGTTGTATGCATTGCAGCAGAGCGGGACAAATATGGTGTGGTCATTTTATAGTTTAAATATTGAAATACGCTTTTATAATTAAGTTTTGCGCAAAAATTCATCAGCAAAATTAATAAAACTTTCAATTAATAATGGTTTTAATTCAAATTTAAGGTTCAAAATTAAATTTAATTTCAAATTTAAATTTTGAATTTTATAAAAATTTTAAATTTGTAATAGTTTTCTTACATTTAACAAGAAAATTGGTTCTAAATTATCAATTTTAATTTTAATTAAGTGCCAAAACTGCTAAAAATAGCAATATTTTGAAGTTAATTCATTATGTTGTATGCATTGCAGCAGGGCGGGTCAAATATGGTGTGGTCATTTTATAGTTTAAATATTGAAATACGCTTTTGTAATTAAGTTTTGCGCAAAAATTCATCAGCAAAATTAATAAAACTTTCAATTAATAATGGTTTTAATTCAATTTAAGGTTCAAAATTAAATTTAATTTCAAATTTAAATTTTGAATTTTATAAAAATTTTAAAATTTGTAATAGTTTTCTTACATTTAACAAGAAAATTGGTTCTAAATTATCAATTTTAATTTTAATTAAGTGCCAAAACTGTAAAAATAGCAATATTTTGAAGTTAATTCATTATGTTATATGCATTGCACCGGGGCGGGTCAAATATGGTGTGGTCATTTTATAGTTTAAATATTAAAATATGCTTTTATAATTAAGTTTTGCGCAAAAATTCATCAGCAAAATTAATAAAACTTTCAATTAATAATGGTTTTAATTCAAATTTAAGGTTCAAAATTAAATTTAATTTCAAATTTAAATTTTGAATTTTATAAAAATTTTAAAATTTGTAATAGTTTTCTTACATTTAACAAGAAAATTGGTTCTAAATTATCATTTTTTAATTTAATTGAATGCCAAAACTACTAAAAATAGCAATATTTTGAAGTTAATTCATTATGTTGTATGCATTGCACCGGGGCGTATATATGGTATGGTCATTTTATAGTTTAAATATTGAAATATGCTTTTATAATTAAGGTTTTGCAAAAATTCATCAGCAAAATTAATAAAACTTTCAATTAATAATGGTTTTGATTCAATTTAAGGTTCAAAATTAAATTTAATTTCAAATTTAAATTTTGAATTTTATAAAAATTTTAAAATTTGTAATAGTTTTCTTACATTTAACAAGAAAATTGGTTCTAAATTATCATTTTTAATTTTAATTAAGTGCCAAAACTACTAAAAATAGCAATATTTTGAAGTTAATTCATTATGTTGTATGCATTGCACCGGGGCGGGTCATATATGGTTGGTCATTTTATAGTTTAAATATTAAATATGCTTTTATAATTAAGTTTTGCGCAAAAATTCATCAGCAAAATTAATAAAACTTTCAATTAATAATGGTTTTAATTCAATTTAAGGATTAAAATTAAATTTAATTTCAAATTTAAATTTTGAATTTTATAAAAATTTTAAAATTTGTAATAGTTTTCTTACATTTAACAAGAAAATTGGTTCTAAATTATCAATTTTAATTTTAATTAAGTGCCAAAACTGCTAAAAATAGCAATATTTTGAAGTTAATTCATTATGTTGTATGCATTGCAGCAGTGCGGGAAAAATATGATGTGGTCATTTTATAGTTTAAATATTGAAATATGCTTTTATAATTAAGTTTTGCGCAAAAATTCATCAGCAAAATTAATAAAACTTTCAATTAATAATGGTTTTAATTCAATTTAAGGTTCAAAATTAAATTTAATTTCAAATTTAAATTTTGAATTTTTCAAAAATTTTTAAATTTGTAATAGTTTTCTTACATTTAACAAGAAAATTGGTTCTAAATTATCAATTTTAATTATAATTAAGTGCCAAAACTACTAAAAATAGCAATATTTTGAAGTTAATTCATTATGTTGTATGCATTGCACAGGGACGTATATAGTGTGGTCATTTTATAGTTTAAATATTGAAATACGCTTTTGTAATTAAGTTTTGTGCAAAAATTCATCAG